CAAGTCTGCCCTGAGCTTGGTACTCATGCTCTTTGGCCACCGTTGGGAGCATTACAAAGTCAATGGGAGCTTTACACATAAATTAGCATTTTGTACCAAGTACTCTGAAAAATCAGTCCCTAGGCATCTCAGATTGGGAACCCTAAATTGTCACTTTTTTTTACAATATTTACAAAAATATAATCTCTGTATTTCCAGTCTTTCATATGTAAAATGGGGATGAAAATACCACCTCACCTCAGAAGTGTTGTCAAGATTAATTAATTAATATTTGTAAATAACTAAGATGTTTGTGAAGAATTAAGATACTATGATGAGAGTACCACAGAAAAGTTCCAGAGGAAATTAATAATTCTGTGTTCAGGGCAGAGTTTGGATGGCATGTGGCAAATAGTGCATGGGGTTATATACTAAATAAGCTACCCATTCAATGAGCACTGTTCATCCTACACACTGAATGAGGCAGGCATCTTATGGATAAAATAATATGTGGTCATGTAATTACAGACAGTTTCATAGTGCATATACACAAAGGGGCCCAATTAAGGTTGTATGGTCAACACTTAGTTCTGCCATTTCTTAGCTTCCACACGCTTGATTTTGCAACCCAAGTGTTCTTTTAACAAGTTTGTTTTTGTTTGTGTTTGGTCTGGATGTAATAGTACACAAAATGTGAAGATGGTAAATTACTGTATTAACATCACAAACAGGATTGCTAGCCTCAGAAGTGCAGGATAATGTCTCACAGAAGGCAATTTTCAACAAATCTACAGTGAACATGATGTGCCAGTAAAGAGGTACTATAATTCACGTGTCCCTGCAGAACAAGCACCAAAGAACCTCTCTGAGACTAAATATCTTGGACACTTCCTGGGCGACAGCAAGCCAAAATACAAAATATTAGAGGGTAACTAATTTCAGACTAGGATATATATTTTTTTTAAATTAGCAAATCCAGGTGTGCAACATATTGGTCAAACTCCATCCTTTTGGAGGGTGGGGCAGGAAAGAGGACACAAAAAGAGGTATAACTAGCCACAGCCCTAATTTAAGTGTTCTTTAAAAGATGATAGTGATCTAAGTTTCTGCTCTTGAGAAATGAAAGACAAGAAATTAACATTGCTAAAACCTGAGATGCAAGTTTTAGGATTTGTCTACACATGAAAAAGTTATTCCATAATAAAGGTAGGGCTTGAATTTAAAGGGAATCCACTTTGGAATTCTGCAGACAACTTTTTATTTCAGAACATTGAAAAGGCTACTGGGGGGAAGCTGTTCTAGACTTGATTTTAACAAATAGGGAGGAACTCGTTGAGAATTTGAAAGTAGAAGGCAGGTTGGGTGAAAGTGATCATGAAATCATAGAGTTCACAATTCTAAGGAAGGGGAGAAGGGAGTACAGCAAAATAGAGACAATGGATTTCAGGAAGGCAGATTTTGGTAAGCTCAGAGAGCTGATAGGTAAGGTCCCATGGGAATCAAGACTGAGGGGAAAAACAACTGAGGAGAGTTGGCAGTTTTTCAAAGGGACACTATTAAGGGCCCAAAAGTAAGCTATTCCGCTGGGTAGGATAGATAGAAAATGTGGCAAAAGACCACCTTGGCTTAACCACGAGATCTTGCATGATCTAAAAAATAAAAAGGAGTCATATAAAAAATGGAAACCAGGACAGATTACAAAGGATGAATATAGGCAAACAACACGGAATGCAGGGGCAAGATTAGAAAGGCAAAGGCACAAAATGAGCTCAAACTAGCTACAGGAATAAAGGGAAACAAGAAGACTTTTTATCAATACATTAGAAGCAAGAGGAAGACCAAGGACAGGGTAGGCCCACTGCTCAGCGAGGAGGGAGAAACAGTAACAGGAAACTGGGAAATGGCAGTGATGCTTAATGACTTCTTTGTTTCGGTCTTCACCGAGAAGTCTGAAGGAATGCCTAACACAGTGAATGCTAATGGGAAGGGGGTAGGTTTAGAAGATAAAATAAAAAAAGAACAAGTTAAAAATCACTTAGAAAAGTTAGATGCCTGCAAGTCACCAGGGCTTGATGAAATGCATCCTAGAATACTCAAGGAGCTAATAGAGGAGGTATCTGAGCCTCTAGCTATTATCTTTGGAAAATCATGGGAGACAGGAGAGATTCCAGAAGACTGGAAAAGGGCAAATATAGTGCCCATCTATAAAAAGGGAAATAAAAACAACCCAGGAAACTACAGACCAGTATTGGAGCAAGTAATTAAGGAAGTCATCGGCAAACACTTGGAAGGTGGTAAGGTGATAGGGAATAGCCAGCATGGATTTGTAAAGAACAAATCATGTCAAACCAATCTGATAGCTTTCTTTGATAGGATAACGGAGAAGCGGTGGATGTGGTATACCTAGACTTTATTAAGGCATTTGATACAGTCTCGCATGATATATTTTTATCAATAAACTAGGCAAATACAACTTAGATGGGGCTACTATAAGGTGGGTGCATAACTGGCTGGATAACCGTACTCAGAGAGTAGTTATTAATGGTTCCCAATCCTGCTGGAAAGGTATAACAAGTGGGGTTCCGCAGCGGTCTGTTTTGGGACCGGCTCTGTTCAATATCTTCATCAACGACTTAGATATTGGCATAGAAAGTACGCTTAAGTTTGCAGATGATACCAAACTGGGAGGGATTGCAACTGCTTTGGAGGATAGGGTCATAATTCAAAATGATCTGGACAAATTGGAGAAATGGTCTGAGGTAAACAGTTTAACAAAGACAAATGCAAAGTGCTCCACTTAGGAAGGAACAATCAGTTTCACACATACAGAATGGGAAGAGACTGTCTAGGAAGGAGTAAGGCAGAAAGGGATCTAGGGGCTCTAGTGGACCACAAGCTAAATATGAGTCAACAGTGTGATGCTGTTGCAAAAAAAGCAAACATGATTCTGGGATGCATTAACAGGTGTGTTGTGAGCAAGACACGAGAAGTCATTCTTCCGCTCTACTCTGCACTGGTTAGGTCTCAACTGGAGTATTGTGTCCAGTTCTGGGCACCGCATATCAAGAAAGATGTGGAGAAATTGGAGAAGGACCAGAGAAGAGCAGCAAGAATGATTAAAGGTCTTGAGAACATGACCTATGAAGGAAGGCTGAAAGAATTGGATTTGTTTAGTTTGGAAAAGAGAAGACTGAGGGGGGACATGATGGCAGTTTTCAGGTATCTAAAAAGGTGTCATAAGGAGGAGGGAGAAAACTTGTTCACCTTAGCCTCTAAAGGATAGAACAAGAAGCAATGGGCTTAAACTGCAGCAAGGGAGGTTTAGGTTGGACATTAGGAAAAAGTTCCTAACTGTCAGGGTGGTTAAACACTGGAATAAATTGCCTAGGGAGGTTGTGGAATCTCCATCTCTGGAGATATTTAAGAGTAGGTTAGATAAATGTCTATCAGGGATGGTCTAGACAGTATTTGGTCCTGCCATGAAGGCAGGGGACTGGACTCGATGACCTCTCGAGGTCCCTTCCAGTCCTAGAATCTATGGATGTGGATTAAGCTAACTCAGGAAAACACACTCTGATTCCAAGATAAGAGTGTCCACACTCAGGCCTGGTCTACACTAGGTGGGGGGGGCACGAGAAATTGATCTAAGATACGCAACTTCAGCTACAAGAATAGCATAGCTGAAGTCCATGTATGTTAGATTGACTTACTTCGCGTCCTCGCGGCGCGGGATCGATGGCCGCCGCTCCCACATCGACTCCGCTTCCGCCTCTCGCCCTGCTGGAGTTCTGGAGTCAACAGGGAGCGCGTTCGGGGATCGATGCATCGCATCTAGACGAGACGCGATACATCGATCCCCGATAGATGGATCACTACCGGCCGATCCGGCGGGTAGTGTAGCCATACCCTCAGAGTTATTCCAAAGCGATAGCTATTCCAGAATACCTGCAAGTGCAGTCATCCCTTGTGATTTTTTTTGAAGTGTTACAGAGTACTTTTACACTTATTTAAATTTACATTTAATAAGGTGTATTTACTTTACTTAACATCTATGAATATTTAATTAATTGAATAATAAGGTTAAGCTAAGTATGTTCAAGATAAAGTCAGACATGAAATAACAGTTAAAGAAACCAGTAATTAAGTATTCCTTGATACTTTACACAGAGAACTCTGGTTCAATCTTCTTGCAAAGTTTTCTGCTTGAAGAGTTCTGATATCACATATGGAAAGTAATCTACTAATATACCTTAGTGAAATGCATGAAGCAAAGGAGATATATAGTTGGTGCAGCTTTTCTAAAAAGACTCCAAAGGAAACCAAAGCCACCAGACTGTGAGCAGCATAAAGCCTGGAGACCAACCCAAACAAAAAACATGGCATTTTCTAAAGATATCTAAGATTATGTCACATTAAACAGCCATAGTGACTAGGATAATTTAGCAACAGAAAAATAATAGCTATGAACCAATTTACAGGATACTATATTTAAAAACTATTTTATATATGTCCACTAGAGTAACTCAACTTTACAACAGGACATTCCCACGTCCAATATTTGTTTGTGCATGCTATAAACAAAGACCGAAAACTAAACCATTCTGAAGTTATTCATGTGACAACATTCAACATTAAAAGTATCGAGATGACACCTTTACTAAGGCTAGGTCTACACTACCCGCCTGAATCGGCGGGTAGAAATCGACTTCTCGGGGATCGATTTATCGTGTCCCGTTGGGACGCGACAATCAATCCCCGAATCGACACTCTTACTCCACCAGCGAAGGTGGGAGTAAGCGCTGTCGACGGGAAGCCGCAGAGGTCGATTTTGCCGCCGTCCCTACAGCGGGGTAAGTCGGCTGCGATACGTCGAATTCAGCTACGCTATTCGCGTAGCTGAATTTGCGTATCTTAAATCGACCCCCCCTGTAGTGAAGACGTAGCCTAAGGCAAAGACCATTCATATTAAATCAGTCTTCTACATGAAATTCCCAGAGCACAAACAATATTCTGGTACATACCTGATCTATTAACCCTGTCAATTCTATCCAAACTAGGAGAATGGATTCGAATACGAGGGCTACTTTGACTGGAGGATTCAGAGCCTAGATCAGTGAAAGAGTCTTCAAGTGTGAAGAAGAGAATTTCTTTTACACATTTGTGACAGATACTGTGCTGACAAGGGAGGATCAGTGGATGGGTAAATAACTCCTTGCATGCTGGGCAGATGAGCTCTCGTTCAATATTCTTAATGGTAACCTTGAAGAGAGAGAGGTGAGGAGGAAAGCAAAATTAAGAAAAGATCAGAATCTGAGCCAGTAAGACTCACATTACATACAAACATTCAAAACTACATTTACATCTTACATCAGAAAAAGAAAGTGGCTCCAAAAATATAAGCACAACAAAGCTAAGGCTTGCATCTCAGGTCTTCCAGCAAAAATGAGAAGTCTACTGTAAAAACAAAGCAGGTTTTTTTTTTTTTTTAATTAATCATAAAGTTCCTGTCTTTTGGCTTTGCAGTTCATCTTCTAAAAGGGCCAAAAATTCTGTAATACCAGATTCACTATCTACATTACTAACACCACAGATTAAAATGTAAAGGCTTGAAACTAATTTATTTCATCTCCTATACTGTGATTATTATCCAAAGGGAGTGCAAATAGTAAATATAGTAAGCAAAAGTGAAACTATCTAGAGTCAATATCAACTCCTTTTAGTTCTACTTCTCCTGCTTTGCACAATAATCTGCATAAGAGCTGTAAATGACATTTAAAAAAAATAAATGAAAAATGTAACAATCCTGAAAACATATGAGGTTTTGCATGGGGCTTTTTTTTTTTTTTATATAAAGTAAAAGCCATGTGTTCATGCTTTAACTACCTGAAAGTATCACTTTACTATAAATAACTGTTAATCAATTGCATTATTCAATTTATTTCAGTATATTTGGTTACAAAAATTTCTTCCACAATAAAGATCCAAGTTCTCAATAAGTAGCTCTGGATAAACTATTCCTCACATATCTACTTAAGCTTGCTTTTCTCTAGCATGCATTCAATAGTTGGGTTTACCCTTCTTCCAAGTTCCTAACAATCACGAAGAATACAAAAAAGCACATTGTTTCTAAGGAGGCGGGGAACGGGGGGGGGAAAGGTTCCTGTCCCAATTACAGTCCAGTCAAAGTAAATTATAGCCTGGTTGAATGAATTAGGAGAAACGCTCTGCAACGCCCTAGGAATGGTGCTTTGTGAACTGGGTTTGGTGGGGTGGAGGAAAGGAGGGAGCTTGGCTGCTAAAGAATCTGTGAGTAATGGGCAACCTTGCTTCGGTCCCCCAAAACAAAGGCTTCTCCAGCCACACCCCCACGAGGGATTTCTGGAGGGCGCTCTCCAGGCAGGGCTGTCAGACGGGAGCAAGGAAGGGCGGAGAACTGCAGCAGGATGAGTCTGCAGAAAGCCTGCAATCCACGCGCCCAGGTTTCCAGCGCCCGAGAGGGACGCAACCGGGAGCAGCGCCGCCGCCTGCAGCTCTCGGGCTGGGTGCGGCGGGGCAGCCGCTGCAGTTACAGGAGCACGGGGGCAGTGCCACACGCCGGGGGCCGGCAGCGGGGCTGAGCGGTGCTAAAGGCAGAAAGTTTGGGGCGTCCACGAGCCCCGCCGGCTGGGGGGAATCTCCCGCCTTCTGAGCGCCCCGGGACCCTCCGGGGCCAGGCACCCACCGTCCGCCCGACCCCCACCCCGAGCCGGCAGCCACGGCCGCAAGAACCCCCGCGCCCCGCACTCACGGCGGGCTCCAGCCGATCGCCCTCCATCCTGGAACCGCCTGGGCTCGGGCTCTCCTGCGGGCGGAGAGCGGGGCCGGAGGAGGCTGCGGCTGCAGGCTCCCAGACAGTGCAGCAGCTGCCCGCTGGCCGGGGCGGGGCGGCCTGGCAACCGCGCCCACCGCACAATGAGGGGCGGGGCGACACCTGGCACCTTTGTCCGGGAGGAGGGAGCGAACCGCCCCCAGCCGGCCCGGCTCCCGCCCGCCGAGAGGAGGGCAAGGGCAGCGCCACGGGCTGGCCGGGGAGCCTGGGCTAGGGGGGCGGGGCGCGGCAGGGACCGGCGCTGTCCAGCAGGGACCGGCCCCAGTGCCACCGCCCAGCACCCAGGGCCACGCCCCGCGAGGCAGGCGGAGGGCAGGAGAATCGCTGCTTCACCCCGCCTCAGAGAGGGGACACAGGTCAACACACACTCACACGCTCTCCCACCCCCACCCCCCCTCAGCCTGCAGGAGACTAAGCCCAGACTGGCTTCCCTTAAAAATCTATCCTGGGTGAAGGATTTTCCCCCTCCTCCCCCTGTAAATGAGAGACTTGGCCATGCACTTAAACTCTAGCAACAAGGGAAGAAGTTAGAAGTGATCAACAGGTTTTTTTTTTTTTAAATGAAAAAAGTCACACTGGAAGAGGTGGTACAGAACGGGACAGTCACACCTGAATATCCCAACCTCTCCGTTTACTCTTGACTATTTGTTTTCAGTGGAGGTGGGGGAAGAGTTAAGTATTTTTCAAATATAACAATACGAACTTGAAATGTTAATTAATCACAGTATCGACTATTTACATATGAACATACTCCATGTGTACACTACAATAAAGTACCTAAATCTGTGACTGCACACATTCAGAAAACCCTTAATACTACCTTACGCCACAAGGAAAAGTAAACAACATCTCCCATCTACATTTTAAAACACTTTGTGTTTTCAGTGCCAAATTATCCAGGTGGTGGTAGCAGGCTTGCAGATTTGCCAAGGCTGCAAAAGCTCCAGCTGGTGCAAAATGCAGCTGCCCACTACTTGTATGGTTTATGCTGCCAGGAGCACATCCAGCCTGCACTCCAGTACCTCCCGCCCAATGCACCACCCTTGCCAGTTCAAGGCTTTGGTCATAATCTTTAGAGCCAGGAATGAACCAAATTCCAGATGCATTACAGTACACAAAAGGTAACACTTTCAAAGGTGCCTAAATCCCTTTTGAAATCTAGATTTAGGAACCTAAATCTCAATCTCACTCTTGAAAATGGGATTTATGCACTTCCAAAAGTTTTACTCAATATCTCTATTTATGAACCATCAAGACAAAAGCACTACTCTGGGACAATGCAGATCATAAAACTGAGGAAAAAAGCATGCGAGAGTTGGAGACAAGGTAAATAGAACTTGTCTAATGGGAAATTGACTGGATAAGCGCCCCATGTGGACACACTTATTCCAGTGTAAGAGTTTCCACACACAGAGCTATTCTGGAATAGATAGTGCTTTATGCTTTATAGTCACACTCTACCCTTATACAGTAATAACTTCCCTGTGTAAACTAGCCCATAAGCCCTGTCTTTATTAAATAAATTTGCACCAGTGTAATGATATTGATGCAGTTATACCATTAAGGGTTTGCTCCATAAACATGCTGCATTGGTGTAAAGCAGTGCTTACACAAGTGTAGCTTGATCCTTTAACATACCAAACCAAACTCACGTAAGTAAAATTCCTTAATGTAAACAGGGCCTTTGTCAAAGGTATCCAGCTGTGAAGTAAAATCAAGAGACTAGGTGAGTCTAGAATCTGACCATCTTTAAGAAACTGCAGTTACCTCTCTCTTTGATCACATTTTCCCATGACCAAAACGACATTCTCATCTATTTTTTCTCTCCCTCCCCATTCTTCCTCCCCCCCTAGAACCCCACTCCAAGCACAGACTTCAAGGACACCAAAAGGGAGAGTAGCCACTCTATGAAGTTCAGAGACTTTGCTATTGTCAGTCTAATTAACACGAAGTGCTCAGGTTCTGAGGGAATGGGGTGCAGTAAAACAAGTTTTTTTTGTTTGGTTTGGTTTTTGTTTATGTTAATAGAACCTCAATTCTATCAGCAATGGAGACAAAGGATTTTCTCTACAAGAAAATGGTATACTATATTATGGGGGAAGAGAGAGACAGGTACACTTTCTAGTAGCCATCATACATCTCAAAAGCATTTAAATAAGACTGCCTAGAATGAAATGGAAAATTCTACCAGCATAGGCATCACTGTTCTATGATCCATGTATGTCCTTGTTGTGAACTAATCACAGAACAGTGGTGCTTATAGTGATAGAATTCTCAGTTTCATCCTACTAACATTGATACAGAAGCACCATCTTGCACCTATCATTGTAGCCAAGGAACAACTAGCAATAAAGGAATGATTCTTCTTTGCAGCAGGATGGGCCTTCTGCAGTCTAGTGGAAGTACATCATAGTTCAAGACTGGGTCTTAGGGCATGCCTACACTTACCTCCAAAGTGATCGATCCAGCAGGGGTCAATTTATCGTGTCTAGTGAAGATGCGATAAATTGACCGCCGAGCACTCTCCCATCGACTCAGGTACTCCACCGGAGAGCGAAAGGCGCAGGCGGAGTCGACAGGGAAGCGTCAGCAATCGACTTACCACAGTGAAGAGACCGTGGTAAGTAGATCTAAGTACGCCAACTTCAGCTACGTTATTCAGATAGCGGAAGTTGCGTAACTTAGATCGATTCCCCGCCCCCTCCCATGTCAACCAGTATTGTGCTGAGAAAATAGCTCGGCAAGAACTCAGAAGTTTGTGGGGAGAAAAGCACCAGATGTCATTTTATAGTCATCTGAAAGAGCACTGCAAGGTACCTCTTCTCAACTGGTATCCTGGGAGCGAGAGACTGGAATTCAAGATTTTCCCCAAAAGGGAAGAGGGGCAAACAAAAAGGGAGCGGAATGAAGGGGGCGGGGAGAAGGAACAAATACAATGAACTGATTGTGTCCAAAACTAGAAGAAGTCAGGAATTCCCACCTAATCCCACCTCTGCTATTAACTCCCTCTGTGGCAATGGGAAAAAGCACTTAACTGCTGTGATTTATGCCTTCTATACTAGAAAAGTGCATCAGTTTAAACTAAATTAATTTTTACACTGAGCTACTTAAACAAGTGCTAAACTCTAAAGTAGAGACACGTAATCCAATTTGACCCTTGTTTGTATCAATTTACCTTAAATAAGTAGTTTGACATAAGGTAGAATTGAACCTGGTTTATGTGCATCGTCTTTATGAATTTGCACTGGTTTAACTAGACTGATTTTAAAAAAAAATAAACTAGGTCACTTTTCTGGTATAGGCAAGGTCCTAATTCTTATCTAGATAAGGGGATAAGATTATCTGCCTCCTAGGCTGTGCCCATGCTAGACTATTTTGGGAGGTTTCCCAC